GAGACCCTGTTTTAGTTGAATTCATAGCTCACAACCACCATGAACAACTGCATGACATCCTGTTTCCTTTATGTTGTTTATGACTCTGGATGTACATCACACCTCCGGAAGAGTGACTTAGCCTCCCCCTGCACCCCCCATAACAGACATAACAAATTCTGGTTTTAGCTGCATTTAGGCTCATAGACACACCTCTAGGAGGGCTGTGAAAATGGGAGGAGATGGCAGGATGGCAGAATTTTTGCCCGAGCGGCTGCTATTCATAAAAATGAAAAGCCATGAAAGAACTATTTCTTGTGGAGAACTTTCCATGGCATGACAATGCCATCTCTCTCCCTACAAAGACTGATGAAAAGACTATTGTACAGTTGGTACTGCTTTAACATTCCAAATTTTATCTCTACTCCAGATGGGAAAGAAAAAAGTTGGGTAGGGGGAGGAAAGGTTTCTGAAGGTTTTATTCTGGTTTCTTATTCTTGTAGTCCTGTTAATAAAGTTTCATTATTCCTTTTAAGTTTTAAGTCTGTTTTGCCCTTCTCCTAATCCATATCTCACAGCAAAAAATGAGTAAGTACCCCGGTGATTTTAGCCAGGGCTAAAACCCACTACATTATTTGGTGCATTGGCCAGGAAACTCAAATTGGCAAATCTAAACCACTACAGCTGCCCTCCTGGACATTTCAGAGCAAGTTGCTAATGGTCATTAGTGGTTCAGCCCCCGAGAAAGCAGTGTTTTGCAAAGATGGGCTTCATGCTGCTGCTGCTGATGTTTCTGCTGCTATGAGGGTTTTTGTCAGGACCCACGTGATAGCTGTGCTTTCTTCTTCTCCTGCTCAAAGCAAGCAACAGCACTCACCTTAAAAAGCTCTTTTTCTTTTTACTTAACAGTCAAAAACCCCAAAACATTTAACTGTCAGACATGTTCGCTGTTTATTTCCTAGTATTGATGTTGTCAGTTTGTCCAGGGGAAAAAAAAACCACGTCAAATTTAACATGGATATTAAAAAGAGAATTTCAGTTCTGTAAAACCAGTGGTCTCTTCAGCTGGGACTAGCAGTGTTACCTGCCACATGAACAATGATGAGTCTCTCTTTCATTACTTTACTATACAACCTTTAAAAAAATATTTTTCACTAATGTGTATGAGTATTTTAAAAATTTCAACTATTTTTTGTTAATATCTCAGAATATCCAGCCCTTGAGACATCTGTGGCCTTGAATTCCTTCTTGTGCCCAGAGACATTTCTTCCTGCCCCAAATCGCGTAGTTTGCATAGAGGAAAATACAAAGCTTCTTAGCATTTTATACAAATAATTTAGCCTTTAAAATTCCATATCCTAGTAACTCTAGTTTCTAAACCACCTTTCAAGTGAGAAGATAAGATGTACTTTAAGCGGAAGCACAGATTCAGACACAGTCACTCGTGCTGTTGATGTCACAAAAGAAAGCAGGCAGGCTGGTGTGTTCACCCTGTCCTTTCCAGCATGCTTCCTGGTGACAATATTTGGTCCACGCTTCTCTTGGTGGAAATGAAACTCAAGACCTCAGCTGGGTTTGGTTCACAGGACCTGAACCAACCGTCCCAAATGCACCTCACTGCTCTGCCAGAACTCCATCTCCAGCTGGTCTTGCATCTACTCTTCTCCGACAGATATCTGAAATGAATGATGCTTTGACCTGTCTCACAATGCTGGATAGACAAGATCAGACCAGACAAGACAACTGGTGTTGCCACTTCCTTCCAGCTCCATGCTCTTGACTATTGTTTGGGATTTAGGTCAGTGTCAATGGTCATAGATCCCTCTTTCAAACTCCAAAGGAATGATTGTCAGAGTTTTTAATGTGGACTAAATTACTTTTGTAGTAATTCCCTAACATTTGAACTACATAACCAGCAACCGAAAAGAGACATCTGCCGCCACAGTTACGAGCCATAGGCAATGTCAGTGTGAATGCCTGATGTTTAGCAATAACATGCACAATAGAAAGTAGAATCTTTCAGGGGAGATACAAAGCAGGCTTAAATGTTGGTAATTTACCAGCCCTATCCACAGTAACATGCCATTTTCCATCTTCATATGGTCTGCCCCCAAAGAACCTAGACTGCAGTTTGGTCCAGAGAAGAAAAAAAAAACCACCTTCCACTAAAATTTACAGTTCCAGTCTCCAGGTTTTAGATGTGTGTTTACTGGATGCTCTTGTTTATCCCACCCCCTGCTATAATTAGAAGTATTCAAAAGTTCCTATACCACCTTAATTTGTTCCTGCCACCTATGTAGTCACATTAAAAAGAGAGACTTAATTAGTGGCAGGACCCCAGCCTGTGAACTGGGCACTTCTGTTCCCATCATCACACCTGCAGATGTGGTGTTAAATGGGCCGACTGGCTTCTCTGCTGCCTTCCCTTCTGTGTCTGGCTGGCTGTTCTGGGTGTAATGTGCTACAGAACGTGTGCCTGGCAGGGGTAACTACTGCAGGGTCATTTGAAACAGGCAAGTCTGCTGCCTGCAGCTGTGAGCTGTGTGAGACTTGGGCAAAAGTAGCTAAAAGCACTTGTTCTGCTACATGTGTCACAATTTGGCATAGAAATGGGGAAATCTGCCTGCTGGTGTGTTTAGGAACATGCCTCTCTCTCTGGCCAGTGTGTTTTTTCTGTTAATAGATTCACCACAGATTTCAATTCAGTTAGGTTGCTGCTTTAATGCTCCCCCCCAAAAAAAAGATTAGTGGTGTTCCTGAAGTAATTCTTGAGAAGTTTTGCCTTTTTTTTCTGCATTTATAAGTTTTTGTGCCATAGGCAGTGGCAAGAGAGAGGCCTGCCCTGTAGGTTCCAAACTGGTTTGGAGACAAATAAAAGTCATCTACAGATTTCTTTGGAAGCACTCAGAAGAGTGCTAAGTATGCATGTAGCAGACAGTGATTGTAGTCTGTCCTGAGCTACGCACATTTGAGCTCTGTCTTGCTGTGAAACAAAGCAGGTTTTAAGAGGACTTAATTTACAGGACTGAGGTAAAATACAGGGGTTTTTCTCTAGGTTTACACCATTTACCTCTCACTGTTAACCACTTTCACTGATCATAAATTTGAGAAGCAGCTTATGGGTTTCAATAGAAGTTTGTCATACTACAAAATACTCAAAGCTATCTCTGAAATATGTATGTTGTTGCCTGCCCTTTTCTTAAGGGATCGAAATTCTCTGCCTATAGCTTTGTAACTGAGATTAATACAAAGAAAGTGGGATATAGCCTCTGTTATTTTCTAACAGTTCTTCCTGGCCTTGAATCTATTCATTGTAGTAATTAAACCATCCAGACCTACAGGGCTTTAAACAGAGGGCTGAGACTAGGGAAGAAAAAGGGGTCTTGTCTCAAAGGAAAGGCAGTGCTCCACAGGATGCCCAGGCTGGCCTGATACAAGGTTGAACATAAGGATATTTACATGTATTACTTATATAAAGAAACTGATGTTTACTTTCATTTGATGGTGTTAAAATTGCAGTACTTTCAAGCTGAAATTTTTCAAGGACATACATTTATTTCTGTGGTTTTACAGCCCTGTGAATTGTAGTCATGAAGGAGAACAATGTAAAAAGTGTTATGTGGTTTTTTGATAGGAAAACAGCACTCTGGTACATATCAACTAAGTAGCAAAACTTCAGGAGTCTTCTTACTATAGTGTGAACACAGGTCCCAACAGTTTTGTGGTTGGTTTGGGTTTATTTTATTCAAAATAGAGCTGACCTCTACATAGTTCTCCTTGAAGAAATGGATTTTTTTTTTCTGAAATTACTTAATTTTTTTACTTATCATATGACCACTTGGAAAGCTGGTGGCTGCAGCCAGGAGGTGGATGGTGCTATGGGACAGGGCTGCTTTGCCCCACTCCCTGGCCAAACAGGGCATCAGCACAAGGAGCCCTCAGCAGCTCCAGAGTGTGACTGGGCTTGGCCTGAGAACACATGTAAGACAGAGCTGAAGAGATGATACAGAATTGGGAGCAGAGGCCCTGCAGAGAGACCTTGATAAATAAAAGAACTGGGCAATCACCAACCATATGAAATTGAACAAGGGAAAGTACCAGATTCTGTACCTTGCATGGGGCAACCCTGGATGTATGGACAGACTGGGGAATGAGATGTTGGAAAACAGTGCCATGGAAAGGGACCTGGGGGTCCCTGGTCTGTGGGAAGTTGAATGTGAGCCAGCAGTGCCCTGGAGCCAGGAGAGCCAACCCTGTCCTGGGGGCATCAGGCACAGCATCACAGCCGGGCAGGGGAGGGGATTGTCAGCCTCACCTTGAATATTGTGTATAGTTTGGTCACAACATAAGAAGGATATAAAGCTATTAAAGACCGTCCAAAGCAGGGTAATGAGGATGGAGAAGGGCCTTGAGGGGAAGCCATATGAGGAGGAACTGAGGTCTGTTCAGCCTGGAGAAGACTGAGGATAGACCTCATTGCAGTCTGGAACTTCCTTGCGAGGGTGAGAGGAAGCACAGGTACTGATCAGTGACAGGACCCGAGGGAACGGCCTGAAATTGTGTCGGGGAGGTTTAGGTTGGATATTAGGAACAGCACCCAGAGGGTGGCTGGGCACTGGAACAGGGAAGTGGGCACAGCACCAAGCCTGGCAAGGTTAGGACAACACTCTCAGGCATATGGTTTGATTTGGGGATAGTGCTGTGCAGGGTCAGGAGCTGGATTTGATGATCCCTGTGTGGCCCTTCCAACTCAGCCCATTCTGTGATTCTATGAAGAGCCGGGCCCAGGCAACGCCCGCAGCTCGCGGTGCTCAGTGCGGCCTGCGGGCGGACACGCCGTAGCGGGCCCTGACAACCCCGGCCTGGGTGGGGGCAGCCGGGTGCGCCCCGCTGTCCCGCCCCGCTGTCCCGCCCCGCTGTCCCGCCCCGCTGTCCCGCCCCGCTGTCCCGCCCGCCGCCTTCCGGGGCCGGCCGAGTGCCGCCTGCAGCCGCCGGGATGCTGCTGCCGCGG